TGGCCACCACCGATCTACTTCCTGTCTCTAGATTTGTCTGTTCTGGACATTTCCTAGAAATGGAATCACATAGTATGTGGCCTTTTGTGTCTGGCTTCTTTCACTTAGCTTGTTTTTTGAGGTGCATTCGTGTCGTAGCTTGTATCAGTGCCTCATATTTTTGTGGCTGAAAAACATTCCATTCATTGGCTGATGGACACTTGGGTTGGTACCACCTTTTGGCCACTGTGAACCATGTTTCTTGTTCCTTTCGGCTTGGTTCTCCTGATAAGCTCGGTGTCCAGCTGTAAGATTCCTCTAGCTTGGCTATTTGGAAAGCCAGAGAAGGCGTGGCTGAGCGTGGTGGGGTTTCTGGGGAGCTGATGTGGTGAGAGGCGCAGAACAGGGCGGTTTGAAGGTTTGCAAGAACCGTCTGCCGGCGGGAGGCCTTACCCTGGCCCCAGAGCCACCTGCTGCTTGCTAGGTGGGTGCTTTCCCTGTTGTTGATTATTAACCAACGGTTATGATCTTGGGAGTCAATCCCCAGGCTAGAACTGGTGCTTATTTGAGATGCCAGACATGTTTTCCAAGACATTTAAACAGCCCTGGACCCTTGGTTCTCTGTCTCCACTTGGAGACCAGATCACCCTGTTATGGGTTATAAACCATTATCGTCATCATGGTCTACATTTGTGTTAAGGGCTTCGTGTTTTATTTCAAAGCCATTACTTTTAATTCCTTAGGTCATTCTTACTCCCATCTTGGCAAGTGAAGGAACTGAGACAACAGAGAGGTGAGGCGACTTGACCGAGGTCACACAGCAGGGTGGCAGCCAGAGGCACACTTGAACCCTAGGAGGAATGCCTCGATCCCATTGTAGGGCACTCTCCACGGCAACGTGCCAGAGATGGTGGTTGCGGTGACCTCAGATGACATGGGGCAGAGCCATCTGAGGGTGGGGTGAGGACACTGGAGGCCTGGGTGCTGTAGTGAGGCCCTCCCCCGGGGTGAGTCCGGCCCCATCTGGGAGGGCCATCCTCCCTGGGTTCGCAGCTTCCACTCCTGGCCCCTGTGATCGCTTGCTCCTGACATTTGCATTTGGCTAGGACCTCTTCTGGCCTCCCCGAGTCCTCCCAGCCGCCCCAGGATCTCCCACACTTCTAGGGGAGGAACCCCACGGTGGGGAACCTCCAGACGGCAGGCAGCAGTGATGCCGAGTGGGCGGCGGCTCCAGGACTCCCCAGGTGGAGGGGACTCCCTTCTTTCAGCTGAGCGTGGGATCTTCCTCGTCCCCTCCTCTGCCTGCTTTCCGTCTCTCTTTCCCAGGCTTCCCCCATCACCGACCCCTCCCGTGTGGGGTCTGGGACCCCTTAGGGCTGCACGCGAGTGCTTGGCTGGGTCGGTGGGGGGAGAGTTTTCAACCTCGGTGCCACGACACATGGCAAGATCACTGTGGGTCACAAGACAGTTGTCATCTCCGCTGAGGCTTTACCTGTTGGTTATCACAAATGAGAGCACATTCAAGGTTATCCCTTGATATAATCACATCGCTTTCCCCTACTCACGTGTGATATGTTTGCCTGAGTGGGCGAGAAAGGGCTGGAAGTGCGCCGAGCACTGCCGCTCTCCTCTATCTTATCTCGGCACCAGCTGGTGGCCGGGCTGGGCCTGGCTGTCCTTGAGAGGGTGGCCCACACGCACATGTCACGGGTTGCGAGGGCTGGGGCAGGATGGGGTCGGGCACAGCTGATCGGAGCAGGGTGAGGCAGAAGCAGGATTTCACCCTCCTTATGTTTGGTTCTCCAGTCGCAAGGCCGAGCCTGGAACTGGGGACTTGGGCACTGCAGTCATTACCCAGGACCACAGAGCGTGGCTTAAAGCAACAGCCATGTCTCGATTCTGGAAGCGAGAAATCCAAAATCAAGGTGTCAGTCGGGCCATGCTCTGGAGTTTCTAGGGGAGAATCCCTCCTCACCTCTTCGAGCTTCTGGGGGTGGTGGCCGTCCTTGGCGTGCCTTGGCTTGCTGCGGCATGGCTTCAGTCTCTGCCTCTGTTGTCACGTGGTATATTCGCTGTGTGACTGTGTCTTCACATCCCATCGTTCTTAGAAGGACACTGGTCATCTTGAATTAAGGGCCTGCCCTAATGACTTCATTACTTGATTATGTTACAAAACTATTTCGAAATAGGCCGCATTCATAGGGACTGGGGGTTAGGACTTCACCATATCTTTTTGGGGGGACATGAATCAACCCATATCAGGCATTAGCTCCTAAAGAGGAGGTAGGGCTGGGTCAACAGTGGGGATGGTGCACTATGGCCTGTGTCCCCCATAGGTGCCACTCTAGGCCATCTGTATGCCAAGGCAGGGTAGATTCTAACTTGTGACCAAGCGCCTGTGTGTTCTCTTAGTTCTGATCTTTTTGAGGGCAGCAGTCATGTCCTCTTCCACCCTGGCATCCCCTCTGGAGTCTCGGACACAGCCCTGGAGCCAGCATGAGGCTGGTCGCCACTGTGCTCATTCCTGCTCCAGCACCTTCCAAGCTCCCAGCATCACCCAGGAAATCCTTCTGGCCGCATCTGCCCTGTGCACCCCTGGGAGTCCCCAGGAGCTTATCCAACATTCAGGGGAAATGGGAGAGGGGCTCAGTCCAAGGAGGGTTGGGTGCTGGGGTCCCTTGAGCCTGACTCAGGGACCTTGGACGGTAATCACATGTGCTCTGGACCCGTGGGCATGGGCATCTTGCACCTTGTGGAAAGAAACAGGCAGCGTCCTTTGTATGTAAGTGTCCCTTGACTGGTGGTATTAGAGACCAGCCAGCATTGTTGTCCTCTAGGGTATGTGTCCCTGGAGAGCCAGGGCTGCTGTTGGTCAAGGTGCCTGCAAGCCAGCTCCAGGGGAGTAGGCCAGAGGTCCTCACCTAAGCCCAGAGCAGCAGCCCCGTAGACTTTGGGTGGGGGCTTACCTTCCTCCCTTCCTGCATGCTTTTCCCTTCCAGGCTTCCAGCCCCCTAGGGGAGCTGTCCTCACCTAGAAGACCCAAGGGTGGCATCCTCCATCCCTGGTCGTCCTTTCTCCCTTCTTTTTCCCCCATCGTGGCTCTCGGGGGCCAGGACCATTGGGGAGGAGCAGTGGCAGCTTGGGAGGGGCCCAAGTGGTGGGAGGGGGCGAGCCTGTGCTGGGCTCAGCTCTGTTGGGTCCACAGGCAGGTGCGGGGCAGGCAGCCAGGCAGGACCCCACCGGGGTAATGTCCAAGACCGTAAACAGCACGGAGGCTGGTGGCTCTAGCTGAGAGGTAGAAGGAGCGGGTTCATTATTTCACGAGTGTGTGTGTGTGTGTGTGTGTGTGCGCGCGCGCGTGTGCACACACGTATGTGCTGTCTTGGCCCTGATGGTTCTTGTGCCACTTACAGTCTGGATCAGGAGGGAGGGGACACCCTCTCCAGCTGTCGTGGGGTACATCAACAAGGTCCAGGAGCAGAGAAGGAGGAAGGCAGATGGCGGAGCAGAAGAGGGGGTTGCCAGGTCGAGGTTCATGGGGTCACGGGGATCCTGTGCCAGGCCAGATATGCGTTCACCAGAGTCCTTACCTGGCTGCTTAGAGGACAGCGAGGGTGGCCAGCTGCAGGGGCAGGCAGGGTTGTTGTGTCAGGGTAGACACAGCCTGTCTCGGGAGGTGTCCCCAGACTGGCCTGCCCCGTGGGCCAAGGGGAGCCAGGATGGCAGGGTGTCTGGGCCCCAGGGCAGGGCTTCCTTCCGTCCACAAGGCTGGAGGGCTGGGCTCCGGAGGGAGGGTGGGCTTCTCTCACCAGGGAGGCTGGGGCTGGAGTTCTCACTCTGCTGGCAGGCTGTGGGCTGAGAAGAGCTGCAGAAGTGTCCTCTCAAGATGGCAGTAGGGGCTGGGAGCGCTGGCTCACGCCTGTAATCCTAGCACTCTGGGAGGCTGAGGCAGGAGGATCGCTTGAGCCCAGGAGTTTGAGGTTGCTGTGAGCTAGGCTGACGCCACGGCACTCACTCTAGCCTGGGCAACAGAGTGAGACTCTGTCTCAAAAAAAAAAAAAAGATGTCAGTCGGGGCCCTTTGGTCATTGGAGCGGGACCCAGCTGTTGGGCTGACTCTCTTGGCTGCTTCCGGGTGGGGCTTTGGGGAAGGAAACATTTGAGACATTGAGGGCGCTGACCGCTCAGCTCAGCACGGTCTTCTTAGGCTCATAATGCTGTTATCTGAGCCTCCCTGTCCCCTCCGGGAAATAGCCGGGCCACATCCAGGACACCAGAGTCCCTTTGCCCGGGGACTCCCCAGGCTCTGCCCAGCTGGCCTTGTTGCGTAAGGGTTGCTCTGAGGGCTTATCTCACCCTAAACAGGCTGCCTGGTGATGGGACTGCAAACAAGCACTCTCTGGTCACCGGCAAGGGCCAGATGGAAAGCGGGGAGTGTGTGAGCGCAGCGAACCTGTTGCAGTCCTGTTGCCATGGAGACACAACTCTGTTTAGCTGCCTCTCCCTGGTCCTAGCCCACATGGACTAAAATAAGTTTTACCTGCGGCTCGCACAGCAGGCAGCCCTGTCCTCCCAGGGTCAGCTCCCTGGCTAGGGCCTGTGTGTGTGTGGACAGAGGGGCCCAAGGGAGAAGGAATCCCTGGCATTTACCCCTCTCCCCTTCTCCCCCTACTCCAGCCCCAGTCCTGTGTCTCTCTAGACCAGCGGTCCTCACTGTGCATCAGTCGCCTGGAGAGCTTGTTAAAAATACAGATTCTTGGGCCCCATCACTGGAGACTCTGATGTGCACCTGAGAATTTGCATTTCTAGCAAGTTCCCAGGTGATGCTGGTGGTCCAGGGACCACACCCGGTGGCACCGCTTGAGATTTCAGTACATTGCAGTACAGAAAATGCACCCAACTCTCGTCTTCTGCATTGTGCGTTAAGCTGTGTCCCAAAGCCCAGCCACTCTTAGGGGGAAAGAGGGGACGGCACATGCAGGTCCTCACTCACCTCTTCTCTGTTCTTTGTCCCCTTCGCAGGAAGCAGGAGCTGGCCAACAGCTCGGAGGTGAGCCTCCCGGACCGGCCTCTGTCCCCTCCTCTCACTGCGCCGCCCACCATGAAGGTAAGAGGCTTGGATTCAGTCAGCGGGGAGGGGAAGAGTGTCTGGGGAAGTCTCCAAGCCTTGCTGTCGCCTTGGCTCCAGGCCCAGCTGCTCCTGCCCCACGGGGGCCGTGGAGTGCCCTGGCGTTTCTGGAGGCAGCCTCCCATCAAGCTCACCAGTGTGGGAGGAAAGTGTGACCGGGAGGCTGGGTGTCTGTGCCAATAGGCCACGAGGAAATAGGCTGGGGCTGAAATGGGGTTGGCAGCACTCTTGGTAATGGGTGAGAGGCCTTGTGGACTGGTGAGGTGGGAGAGCGAGGGGGCCCGGCAGGGGGAGACAGGGAGAGAGAACGCAGCTGAGTGTCTTAGGGGCTGCTGCCCAGAAGGGCTGCCTGGGGCTCGGGTGGGGGCCTCTTGGGACTTGAATGGCACTTGAATGCTGGTCTGCCCGCCTCTGCCTGGCCCTCCTGGGATGGCCGTGACACCCCAGTCCTGGAGGTTCTGGGGGTGGCGGTCCAGTAGTTCTTTTCCTATCAGCACTTCATTCTTAAGCTTCTCTCCTGGGGAGACCATATCCGAGGGCCTGAGGCTGGGAACCCTCCCATTTCTGGAAAGGGGCTGAGGGGCAGTATCCTCCCTCCACCATGCCCTTCCCCCTTCACTTTTCAGTCCCTCTGGCAAAGCAGAGCCACACAGGCCTGAGCCAGCCCTCAGGGGCACTTTCAGCTAAGCCAGCGTTCCTGCCTAGGCTGTCATGCTCCTCCCTCCCTCCCTCCTCCCTTCACAGTTTGTGGGGTGAGTGAGGACTAGCTCTGAAGAAGTCACCTGCCTCCTGAGTCAGCTGAGGGGACATCTAGGCCAGCACCTATCTCTGTCCTGGGGCTCTGCTCTGAGGTGACTCAGAGGGAAATAATTAGGTGTCTCTTCCTACTGCTCCCTGTTGCCTCTTCTCTTCCCTGACCTAATCTGTTGCCAGGTGACACCCCCAAAAAAAGCAGCAGATAAAAACCATCCTTCTTACTGTTTCCATTCTATATTGGGGGCCCATGGTGCACAGAGCCCTGTGATAGACAGTGAGGAGTGTGTATGTGGAATGGCAGCCAGAGCTTGCCCTGGGTGGGTTAGGAGTTCAGCAGTGGGCAGGGGGCAGGGACAGAGTGCCGGGCTGACGGACGACAGCTCTATTCTCCCCGTTTTTGAGTACCCAGGGGGCATTGAAAGCCAGTGCTGGTATCTGAGCCAGGTGCTGGGATGGCTTATTTGCACAGGGTAATGCTAAGAGGCATGTCACCATTCTGAGTGTTAGCCCCTTGGTCTGCAGAGCTGGGTGTGGGATCCTTGTCTCCGTCCTCATGGGTGGCGGGAGTTTGCAGGGAGAACTCTGACAGTCTCCAAGGAGTCGCTGAGTTCTCTTGGCTGACCTTATTCAGTTTTGTGCTCATTTAAATCATTCAATGCCCAATATTTATTTGAATATGGTATTAGTCAGGACTCTTGGTTGCAAGTGACAGAAACATAACTCACTTTGGCTTAGGCATAAAAGAAAATTTTTTGCCTTTCTAATGGCTAGTATAGATGCCAGATATGGCTGCACCCATAAAATCTGTCTCATTCTTTCTTCTGCATTGGTTTCCTACTTTGTCAAGCTCTGCCTCTGCAGTGGCAGGATGGTGACAGCAGCTCCTACCCACTAAGTAACCCAAGTGCAAAGAAGTTTTCCTTAGTAGTTCTAACAGAGTCCCAGAGAGGAAGTTCATTGGCCTGGCTTAGGTCACATGGCTATCCCTGAACCAATCATTGTGACCAGAGAGATAAAAAGCTCTGATTGGCTAGACCTGGGTCTCATGACCACCCCTAAAACATAAGAACTGAGAGCAGGGGAGGGGTGGCTCCTCAAAGGAAACTTGAGGTGCTACTATGAGAAGAAGGAGAAATGGATTCAGGGCAGGTGAGACCATAGCTTTTAACCGCATGTGCTTTCAATATGCCAGGCCTAGTGTTGGCTAGTGGGGACCTCGTAGCGAACAAGATATCATGATCCCTGCCTTTCTGGAGCTTGTAGTAGAGTTAGGGAGCCAAAAGCTGAAAAAATAATGTCAAGAATGAGGGATGGACTTAATCTTTCTCATGTCTATGAACATTCAAAACTAAAGTCACTTCCGGGAGTCAAGATGGCAGAACAGAGAGAGATACCAGCTGCCAGATCATCGCAGAAAGAAAGAAAAGTTTCAGATGAAAAAGAAAAACAAATAAACAAACATAGATAGAGTATAATTCCAAGGGAAATATGCCAGAACTTACCAGAGATTCCACGGGAAGAAGCTGTGGAACAGGACAGGAAGGAGCAAGGTATTGGCAGAGATCAATCCCCAAGAGGCTTGGAGTCCCGTGAGAAGAGGTGGAGAGGTTTGTATCTTCCACCTTGCATCTCTGATGGATGCAGGCTGCTGGAGAGACCTGCCCACACAAGCCCAGAGGCTGCTGTCACCAGTAAGCTGGGAGCTTCTTGTGGATAGGGCACCAGGCTCCCAGTCTCCCTCGGGTGCTTCCTGCCCCACAGACCCAAGCTGGGATGGCAGGTACCATATTGCTTCTCTACGCACTATGTGCCTTTTTCCTCCCTAGCGGGCTTCAGCTCCTCAGGTTTCGTCTCACTCATTCCCACAGAGACATTTTCCAACTCTGGCCTAGACTGCAGAAGCCACAGGTTTCTGGTGGGTCCTAGGTGACCTGTGTGATTCTAGTGTGTGGACATTCTGGGTGGGCGGCCTCCCATAGGGAGGGATGGGCATGACAAGAGTGCTAGCTTTCCTCCATCTAGACTCTTTTTCTCCCCTTCCCCTCCACCACCCGTGGTTGCCAAGAGAGACAATTGAGCCACCGCACTGAGGTTTCCAAAGAGAGTGGGGATCAGACCTTTCCTCTTGGAGTCCTGCAACAGACTGAGGGGTGCTCGCAGTGTGAGCTCCCTGCCTGTCAGCTCTCTCTGGTGCTGCTTGCCTGGTGACTCCATCAGAGTGGGGCACACCCCACGGCAGAGGAACATGGAACCTACTTGGTCACCACATGGACAACTCGGGATCAGCACGTTTCTTCCTGGCACAGTCAGGGATTGATCTTTAGGGACCCAGGGATGGACCCTCAGGCCAGATCCCATACCCCCAGGTCTTGATGGCATTGCTTGGGGACAGGGAGAGGAGATTTGTGAATTAGTCTCGGGAGGTGAGAGAGCCCTCATGGGCAGATCAGAGGGGAGAGTGCAGTGTGGCTCCTAGCTGCAGTGTGCTCACAGGGCCCCCATCCCCCCACTGGAGGGCTGCACTCTCAGCTGAGGCTGGAATCCTGGGCAGGGAACTTCCTAGCCTGCATCACAGGCATGGGGGAGCCAGGCTGGTTTGAGCTCCTGCCTGCTGCCAGACACCAGGGGGCAGAATACCTCAGAGCATGGGAAGGTGGAAAAGAGTGAGGCCTACTCCAGACTGTCAGATTATGAATCTCAGATGATCCCACCTCCACAAGCAGACTTTCTGGTTGGGTGGGGCCACTTCAGGCACTCCCAGGTGGCTTTGCCCAGAAGCTAGGAGCAGACCTTTGACTCCTTCTGAAACAGATGCCTTGACAGCTTTTGTGCACCCTGAGGGCAAGCTCACACAACCCAGCACTATCCAGCAGCACTCCCCTGCCTGCTTCTGCTGTGGCAGAGAATTAGGACTTACCTGAAGTTCTGGGTCCCCAACCACCACCTGGGGAATTCTCACTCTGTTGCCCAGGCTAGAGTGCCGTGGCATCAGCCTCGCTCACAGCAAACTCCAACTCCTGGGCTCAAGCAATCCTTCTGTCTCAGCCTCCCGAGTAGCTGGGACTACAGGCACACACCACTGTGCCCAGCTAATTTTTTTCTATTTTTAGTTGTTTGGCTAATTTCTTTCTACTTATAGTAGAGATGGGGTCTCACTCTTGCTCAGACTTGTCTTGAACTCCTGAGCTCAAGCAATCCTCCTGCCTCGGCCTCCCTAAGTGTTAGGAGTGCTTCTTGTGAGGGACTAGAGCCAGTCACAGGACCCCAAAACAACACTACAGCTTGTTTCTTCTGGCAGGCACCAGCTACTGACAGGGAGTTCAATTTGCATGTCCTCACAGCATTTTCTGACTCAGTCATACAGGGTGTGGTTGATTCTCACTCACAAGCACCACCTATTATCTCTGAGATTAAACTGGGCATGACATTATCTAAAAATAGAAGCAACAGCTGCTCCAGATGTGAAGATATCAGTGAAAGAACTCAGGAAGTATGAAGATTCAGAGCAAAAGATCACCCCCAAAAGGGAACACCAGCTGTCTAACAATGGATACCAACCAAAATCAGAATATTGAAATCACAGATAGAGAATTCCAAATATGGATTATAAGGAAGCTCAATGAAATACAAGAGAAAATGGAAAACCAAAACAAAGAAACCACACAGAAAAAATTCAGGAAATAAATGAAAAATTCACTAAAGAAATTGAATCATTAAAAAAAAAAATCAAATAGAACTTCTGGAAATGAAAAATTCATTCAAGGAAATGTGAAACTCAGTGGAAAGTCTTAAAGATAGACTAGACCAAGCAGAAGAAAGAATCTCAGAGCTTGAAGATAACACCTTCAATTTAAACAAGTCAGTCAAAGATAAAGAACAGAGAATTAAGGGGAGGCACAAAACCTGTAAGAAATATGGGTTGATGTAAAAAGGCCAAACATAAGAATTATACACATCCCTGAGGGTGAAGAAGAAATCACCCAAGGGTTGGAAAAACGATTTGAGGGAATAATAAAGGAAAGCTTCCCTGGTCTTGCTAGAAATTTAGATATCCAGGTAGAAGAAGCTCAAAGGACACCTGGGAGAGTCATTGCAAAGAGGCAGTCACCACAACAATTAGTCATCAGATTGGTCAAAGTCAACACAAAGGAGGAACTCCTGCAAGCCATAAGGTGAAAACATCATGAACTTACAAAGGAAAACCCATCAGGCCAATTGCAGAC